TATACTATATACTATATACTATATACTATATACTATATACTATATACTATAATTACAGTGACATAGAGGACAAGCATGCGCGGCGCGACCGCTACGCCGGTCCCGTCACGGACTTCCGCGAGAAGTCGAGCTATCGGCCGGACGTGCGTCTAACCTACATTGACGACTCGGGAAGACACCTGAACCAAAAGGAAGCCTTCCGCTTCCTCTCCCACAAGTTCCACGGGAAGGTGTCGGGCAAGATGAAGACGGAGAAACGCGCGAAGAAGGTGGAGGATGAGCTGGTGAGTGAAGAGGAGGAGGAGGAGGAAGGAGGAGGAGGAGGAGGAGGAAGGAGGAGAGGAGGAGAGGAAGAGGAGGAGGAGGCAAGGTGTGGGGGAAGATGAAGACGGAAAAACGCGCAAAGAAGGTGGAGGAGGGAGATGAGGAAGGAGGATGAGGAGGAAGGAGGATGAGGAGAAGGAGGAGGAGGGAACGGGATGGAAACAGGGAATGGTGTAAAGAAGGTGATATGGAGGAGGGAGAGGGAGGGAGGTGAATGCAGAGGAGTAGTAAGAGGAGTGAGTGTGGAAAGGAGCGGAGGAGGAAATAGTGAGGGAGGAGGGTGTATCCTTGCTGCAGCCTAACCTTACTCTTGCCTCACCTCTCGCCCTCCTCTAGTCTGGTTTGCGAAGCTCCCCTGCAGTGACCATAGAAAGCAATCAATAACAACAGAGCGTAGGCTAATCAAAAATAAATACGACGCGTGCTGCGTCGCACACGCACGCGATATTATTCGAAAGCGGGCAAAAGTCTCTTGTTTGCCAATTTGGCGTTTCCAAGGCACGCTCATCGTGGCCTAATTACAGCAAGAGAGCCTTTGTGATGGCAGTTCTGTCGCAGCTCCGTCATAGATAGTGCCATTAGAGAGAGATCTCGTGATAGGGGATACGTTGTAGTGCTATTATAGAAATATATATCGTGATAGGGGATACGTTGTAGTGCTATTATAGAAATATATATCGTGATAGGGGATACGTTGTAGTGCTATTATAGAAATATATATCGTGATAGGGAATACATTGTAGTGCCATTAGAGGGAGATCTCGTGATAGGGAATACGTCGTAGTGCCATTAGAGAGAGATCTCGTGATAGGGGATACTTTGTAGTGCTATTATAGAAAAGATCTCGTGATAGGGGATACTGTTTAGTGAAGTCTTAATTTCCCTAAAATTGTTGTAAATGGTTCAGTGGTTATAACGAATTTGCATGTGCAATCATTTTTTGCCAGGCTATATGCAATGTGCTTGCATTGTGGGTGCGTGTGTGTGTGCGTGTGTGTGCGTGCGTGTGTGTGTGTGTGCGTGCGTAAGTGTAAGTGTGTGCGTGAGATCTGCAGGGCCAGCAGCAGCTGCAGCAAGAAATGAACTTATTAGGAAGCCAAACTCACTTTGATGTCAGGTGCCTTGCGTGCATGCATTTCTGCGTGTGTGCGTGCATTTCTGCGTGTGTGCATGCATTTCTGCGTGTGTGCGTGCATTTCTGCGTGTGTGCGTGCATTT